TGGTCTGTAATGGATGGGTTTGTTGTTCCGTGAGTACAAACAAGCGTGGAAAGTTGACTGTGATGCAGAAAAACGCCACAACACGATAACGATAAAGTGTGGGATGAAGTTCACCTGGCGAAGCGCCATATTGAAAGAAAAACTGGATTACTGTTAACGCCGTATCAGGACCACAGACTGAACGGGGCTTCTGACCGGTGAGTAACGTTACATCTTTGTTTAAACTGACTAACGTTAGCTGTTTTGTTGTTTGGACAATGTGTGTATCGTGTCATTGTCAATGTGTGTACCAGCCCCTGTTTTCCTCTTACATTATTGATGATAATAAGCCATGTGGGCTGTTAGTTCAGTTGGACCCAGAGGGGTCACAGATTTCGGTGTTACACGTGTTTTGCAGTGTGTTTTGTTGTCAGTGGTGGTTCATAATGGTGGTTGTCAAATGGAAATGGTTGTTTTTATGCTGGCTACAACTTCAGACATTTCATAGTACACAGGTAGAATTGGTGACGGTGATAATGATTTGAGTTTTGTGTTTAATTTTGTTATCTGTGACGCATTTCACAATGTTTTGCTTCTGACTGTAGTAGATTTCTGTAACAATGCATGGCTGAACAGTTTTGTATTGTTGTAGTTCTGTATGTACAGTCGCAGTAAGGTATAAATAAAGTCTTCAGATCACTGAAGCACGCATATAAGACCCTCATTTTATGTCCGTGTGGTTAAAGCACACTTTACACTCATAATTTGTTACCCTTAGATCAGGTTGCAGGTACATTGCAATGAGCACTGAGTCTAGTTATTTGGTCTATGAAGATAATGTGTGACTGATAATTGATGACATTGCTATTAATAATAGGTCTACAATAGTGACCTCTAGAAATGAGGGACAAACACTTATTTCTACATATAAACTAAACCACAATGTCGTGATATGACACTAGGTTTTGTCTTCGATTTTACATATAAAATCATAGGTGTTGTCTTTTCCTGTTTTAAAAGCTGCATTACAGTAAAGCGATGTGGTTTTCTGAACTTACCAGAGTGTTCTAGCTGTTCTATTATTTGTCTTTCCTCACTTAGTCATTATATCCACATTACTAGTGATTATTTGTCAAAAAGCCCATTGTATGAATATTTATTTCAAAGCACCTCTCAATCCTACAATACCATGGCAATATTGATATCAAGGTATTTGGTCAAAAATGTTGTGATATTTGAATACGCCGCATTGCCCCACCATGTTTCTACAGCAGCCCAGAACAGCCAAATCACACACTGGCCTCAGATTGGGGCCGTTTGTGTTTTCCCATCGGCCACCGTAGGTAGCAGCCTCTCCATGATGAGTTGTGTGAGAAAAACACTGATTTTTCCAACTTGAAACTGCTTTATTCAGTGTGTTTATCGGTTTAAATCACTTTTTCCCCACTCAAAGGCAGTTTGTGGAGATATGAGTCGCGAGGGGGATAACTGAACAGTCGTTCTGATTAGAGCTGACCTGAACAGATCGATGGATAAATCCTGTAATGAACAGGATCCCAAGTTAAAGAAAAAAGTTGAGCAAACATTAGCAGTTGTTGGGCTAGCGACCTGTCTACGCCGAGCTGACCAAGATCAGAGAAACACTAATTTGTGCCTTGGAATTGCTATACTCAGTGTTTTTAGCGGTTTTAATCACCTGCTCTGTTTGTTTTGGAGAGGAAGAGATGTCTGTGGATGACTCAGCTCATGGTAAAACCCTCCTAAACAACAACGTTGAAGGAATTTTAACTGGGAGTTCACGTTTGGCACACGGAAGAAGTTTCAGCTGTTTGATATCTGCAGTCCTCACCAATAGATGCCACTAAATCCTACACACTGTTCTTTAAGTCTGAGGGTTTCAGGCTGTAGGGTTGGACATTGGTTGTGAGCATCAGATCCATAGATGTGGTTTAGATCTGTCAATGCCACTGAGCCAGCTGAGGTCTCTGTGGAACCTGAAAGTAATTGCCATCTTAACTCAGGGAAGGTGTGTAGCACAAGTCCCTTTGTCATATACTCACGTTGAATGAAAAGATTCACTGGCTGGGTGATTTCACTGCTGACACCATTCGACACGTTGCAACTGAATGGTCCCTGGTCATAGCGGGGCACTCTAGTTAGAGTGAGAGTGGCGCCTCCATCAGTAAGCTGAACTCTGTCACTTTTTGTAACCACAGAGCTGCCGTTCAGCCAGAGGAAAGAGGGGTAGGATCCAGAGGCGGAGCAGGACAAACGGACAGAGCTGTTGAACTCGAACAGGCCCAAGTGTGAGTTGTTTGAAGTCACCATCACATTGGAGATTGGTGCTGTGGATAAAAAATAAAAAGAGGGTAGCAGAAAGCCACATTTTCTAAATGTAAACCCATTGCTCTGTGACAATATAACTTACTAAATGTATTCAAACTTACTCCGTACAGAGATGGCTGCAGGCTTAGATTTTTCATATTTCAGAGTTTTGCTGTTATAGGCCTGACAGCTGTAGCGTCCACTGTGATTCATCTGACTGTCCATCAGTCTGAACTCTGGTCCAGTATCAGACAGCAGGCTTCCATTCAGAAACCACATAAATTGGGCAGCGGGTCTGGAGTCAGCTGAACACGTCATGTTTATGTTTGACCCTACCTTAAAGTATTTTTGTGGTGGAGACAGCTTCAAATTAATATTTTCTGGGCCAACTGTGGAAAAAGACAAAACGATATAGTCACTAATAAAAGAACATTAGCGTGAGACAAGCTGCAGATTGCATCCAGCTTGGCTCAGTGTGAAAGGGTCATTACTGTTAAGGATGCCGTTCAAACACTGAGCTGCATCATTAAACTAAGCACAGCTTTCATTTTCTCACTATCAGCCAAACTGCAACAATCAAACAGCAAGGTGCACAATAAGTAATTTAAACCAAACCACTCCTGACAAGATGGCTGTAATAATCATGAATCAAGCAGCGAATTTCAAGGTCTGTGTAGCTTTTGCATGCAGATGCTGTAACATTAAAGAGGACTCACAGCTGATGTAGAGTGTCACTGGATCGCTGGTGTAATTGCTGAAATTATTGAACACATGGCAGAAGAATGGTCCCTGGTCGTAGCGTGTGACATTAATTATCGTGAGAGTGGAGTTTCCATCAGTGAGCAGAACCCTGTCGCTGGCTGTAACCTCAGAGCTGTCGTTCAGCCAGAGGAAAGTGGGGAAAGATCCAGAGGTTGAGCAGGACATAGAGACTGAGCTCAGCTCTAACAACTCTGTGGCGCTGGGAGTCACTACAACATTGGAGATTTGAGCTATGGGTAGAAAAAGACAAAAAAAAGTAAGGAGTCATCAATTGGGGAATAAAAATATTGCACAAATCAATTGCTCTGACTTGTACAGTATTTCCTGTTTTGCAAGCAAGACAGCCATTAAAATTGCATTACATTCAGCAAAGAATATCACACTCTGTACTAATTCTTCATCAAACAACAAAACTAATAACCTCTTAGGAATAATCTACCCAGTCATCAGAAAAAACATTGGCAGATCCAGTTTCACTAAATTTCACTAGCTGGATATTTCTTGCCTGAGCCCCTCTGAAAAGACTTTGCCAGTGAATTCTGCCTCTGTGTCAGGGGTCTGGATGCCGAGGCATTTTCCTTTTTCTCTCAGCCATCACTGCAATTATGTGTCGGATTTCAGGGTGTGCTGTGTGTGCGTTCCCAATGCATACGTTGTCTGAGTGCACACAATAGGTCAAAAGCAGCGGAGGGGCAAAGAGTGCATACAGTAGATGGGTTTTAAGATAAAGAAACATTGTTTGCACAGATAGTTTTGATCTTGAAATATAACGCACAAACAAGAAACTGATCCCTTTTTATAGAACCAATCCCACTGACACTAGAATCAATCTTCACAATGAAGATTTAGTATCTGTAGTATCGATACCTTGGTATTATCCCGGCCACACCTAAGGAAAAGTGCACATTTTGGCTTAACATACACACAAATCCCAGCTGGACAATCAGCTAAGTCTCTGTAAAAAAACAAATGCTTTCATGGCAATGTCCCTGCTGAAAAAGCAGTGATGTCTCGTTAAAATACACCCACATTAGTTGCCTTAAAGGCGCTGTATGTAAGAATGTGGCCGGTTACTGCACTCAAATTCAAAATACTGCCGCGAGTCATGTCCGCTCCCCCTCCCCTACAGATTCAAGGTTGCTGGACAGTGGCACGCTGGAGACTGATTTGTTTGCCCACGGGCGGCTGCCGTGGCAGGGCCGCATCCCCGCGTCCTTGATCTTTGGTTTTCCAGCGGACCGTTCGAGCAAGTCCGGCTTCTCTGCTGCTAATGCTGCTGCCGGGATACAGCTGAGGAGAAGCCGGCTGCTCATGCTCTTGTACAGTCTATGCTCACGCTATGTACCGGGACACTGCTAATGCTGCTTGCTGTGCTACTGTGTCTCAGTCGTAACTGTAACTGATGCTGAGACTCTATTGACTGCGTGACTGGTAGACGGCGGTGGGTGGCGCAACAGGCCAAAACACAAATTCAAAACATAAACATGATTTGTGGACCACAAAAATGTTTTTTAAATAAGAATATTCTGGCTGTACTATTGTTGTCGGTGAGATCAGTATGTTATATGAACATTATTTCTTAGTCTCTGTGACATATTAGGAGGATTTTACGACTATTTGCTTTAGATTTCTTACATATAGCACCTTTAAAAGCCGCTAAAAACACACTCGCTAAATCACATCCGGAAACATATTTGTGTTGCCGAAACCTACAATGCCAACATTTTCTTATTGAAGCGAGGCTGAAATCATCTCTGACCTACAGAACGAGTAAAGCAAGAGTGCATGTTTTCTCTCTTTTCAAACCTTCAGACTACTTGAAAAAGCCTCATCAAAAGCCTCTACAATCTCTGACCTTCAAAGAGGCAGTGCAGACACTAAAAGCCCAAGTTATTTTAGCCCTCAGCAACAACAGGTAATTCACTCCAACTTACATTTTAGTACAGAGATGGCTGCAGTCTGCGATGTTTGATTTCTCATAGGCCTAGTTCTGTTGTTAAAGGCCTGACAGCTGTAGTTCCCACTCTGACTCTTCTGAATGTTCACCAGTCTGAGCTCTGGTCCAGTATCAGACAGCAGGTCTCCATTTAGAAACCAGTGAATCAAGGCAGGGGGTCCGGAGTCAGCTGAGCACATCAAAGTGATGTCTGTGCCTTCGTCATAGAATTCTTGCAATGGAGATATTGTCAGATTGATATTTTCTGGGCCGTCTGCGGCAAGAAACATAAAAAGATATGGTCACCAATAAAATGTAGGGAGGAAATGGATCGGCATCAAAAAGAATATCACAGATAGTAATTTTAGTAGCTCAAGGCAAAAAAGGACATAAAGCTTGACTCAGTGGCAAGACTTTAAACTGTCTGGGATTTTAATGAACGTGTGATGAATGTGTCTGTTAGTGACTCACAGATGATGAGGAGGTTTACTGGATCGCTGGTGCTGTTACTGAAATGATTGAACACATGACACCTGAATGGTCCATGGTCATAGCGGGTCATGTTAACTATAGTGAGAGTGGAGCCTCCATCAGTGAGCTGAACTCTGACGCTGGCTGTAACCTCAGAGCTGCCGTTCAGCCAGAGGAAAGAGGGAGAGGAACCAGAAGCTGAACAGGACAGGCTGACAGAGCTGCTGCTGGACTCCAAAATTTCTGTCGTGCTGGCATTTACCGTTACATTGGATATTGGTGCTGTGTGAGAAAATATTTTGATTAAGTTTTATTTTTAAGTTTATTTACTTAAAGATTTACTATAAGATTATTCGTTGATACAAATTTAATGAAAACTGTCCTAACCCTAAAGATGCATGATGAACTGCCTCATTCTTAGGTTATCAAATTCAGACGCTTTGCGAAAATGGTTCAGTCCAACTACCAACCCAAAGTTAAACACAGCACCTTTGAAGGTATATTAGACATTGACAAGTATCTACAAAAAGTGCCAGTTAAAAAGAATATTTCACCTGCAAAGTAACTATTTGAACATCAATTACTCACTGCGTGTCACCTTGTTTTTCTTGCAAGCCTCCACGGTGAACAGAATCTGAAAAAGGCAAATGTTTTTCATGAATTGAAGTACACAGGGACCATATTTAACAACAGCAAACTATATCCAAACATCCCTTTACAAAGACTCACAAAACACGTGCAGTATGATCTCATTTATTCAGTGTGGTCTCATTTATCCAGTCGTATGCTCAGTACTTCCTTAACACATGCATGTTTGCTAAAATGCTTCAATATGAAACACTTCTGTCTACAAGTAACGCATCCTGAGAGTGTCTATGAGCTCTCTTTAAACAGAGTTTTAACATGTGCCCAGTCACAGTATTTGGCTGTGCCTGAGACTGCTTTATAATTTAACGTTTTAGCGAAGATGCATGTGTTTAGGATATACTTAGCATACAACTGGATAAATGAGACTTGGATTATACTGCACAGGTTGTGTGAGAGTTGGTAATCGTATGTCTTGATATAGTTTCGCTGTTGGTACATGTGGACCCTGATTACCTTAATTCATGAAGAATATTTGCCTTTTTTTGATTCTCCATTCACTATTAAGACATGGGAGAAAAACAATTTTTTTTTTATGAATCTGATGTAACACACAGCTGGTAATTGATATACAAATGGTCATTTTGTGGGTGAGGTATTCCTTTAAAACATTTTGCTCATATTTTGAAGATAAAGTCATCAACCAATATTTTCTTGTGATTACTCGCATTCCAATGTTTGAAAGGTAAAAAGTAGTAGATAAAAGAGGCTAGCGATCTTTCCAATGACTGCAACTGTCGTTGTCAATGTAAAGATTAATCACATTACTGTAATGTGTTACTGCCAACACTGGTGGTAAAGCAGTGTTAAATCCACTGTTTAAATTCTCAAAGAGCTTAAATGTGCAAGGCTAAGTTGTGGGTTAAAAAAGAAAGTGATGCACAGGACATCTAGAATTTGATTTTACATCTAGATATTTTATCAAAAAACATGATGTTGTATTTGTCAAGCATCAGGTCCATTCAGGTAGTACATAAGGATTTAATATCCTACAATGTGGGCAAAAAAGGTTTGCTAACTTAAAGTAGCCTAATTTAAGGAATAATATAAGGAGAAATCTGTACTAAACATACTGTACATACCAAATCCAAATGCCTGTAGTTGACAATAAAATGCCATCTTTCTGAATATGTAACTACCATGTAAACCTGTTAATTTCTACTTACCCAGCACAGTTATAGCTGCAGGTGGAGATATTTGATATCTTAGAGTTTTGTTGTTAAAGGCCTGACAGCTGTAGTTCCCTCTATCATTCATCTGAATGTTCATCAGTCTGAGCTCCGGTCCAGTATTAGACAGCAGGTCTGCATTCAGAAACCACTGAAACAGGGCAGGAGGTCTGGAGACAGCTGAACAGGTCAGGATGATGTCTGACCCTTCTGTATAGTATTCTTGTGATGGAGACAGCTTCAAATTTATATTTTCTGGGCCATCTGCATTGTGTGGCACATGGGAAATGAATAAAAAAAAGAATGAATCACCAAAAACAAAGCAACAGGGATCAAGCTGCAAATGTTTGCAAATTTGCAGTGTGAAAATGTTAAGCTCTGAGATTTGCAAGAACATGCAATAACTTTGCATTAACATTAGTAACTCACAGCTGATGGAGAGGTTTACTGGATCACTGGTGCCATTACTGACAGGATTGGACACTTGACACCTGAATGGTCCCTGGTCATAGCGGGTCACACTGACAATGGTAAGAGTGGCACCTCCATCAGTGAGCTGAACTCTGTCACTGGCTGTAACCTCAGAGCTGCCGTTCAGCCAGAGGAAAGAGGGAGAGGATCCAGAGGAGGAGCAGGACAAACGGACAGAGCTGCTGAGCTCCACCAAGTCTGTGCTGCTGGGAGTTACAACCACATTGGAGACTGGTGCTGTTGGTTGAAATGAACAATGCAGTTATTAGAAGTCATAAAAAAGGGTAAAAGACATTACACATATCAATTGCTGTGGATTTTCTACCCTGCTTCTGTGGCAGCATAACTCCTAAAAGCATTATGTAACATAACCCTGACACTAAACATGATGGACAGTTGTGAATTGGTACTGATGTCGCTCCCTGTATGCCAATTAAAGTGAGATTTTATTGAACTGATAACGCTATTGCATAAGAAAAGGGCTGCAGAAAAGATATGGCGTGGGTCAAAGTCCTAATTTTAGGAATAGCTGTGAAAAGATTTAGTTTCTCCAATAATTGATATTGAACATCAGTGGAAACATTTTTAATTGTCAACCTGGGCTATCATGATATATGAGAAGTCACATTCTTTGACTTAAGGTGTGTTTTATACAGTTAAAATGGATGAAAATGATTCCTCTTAAAGGAACAAAATCTTAAACAGTGTTGCGTCAACGTACCAAGTATGAGCAGTGTGCAAATTCCTTTCTGCTGTGCTCCGCCATTTGGTATGATCATGACTGTGTATTCTCCATTGTCACTAAGAGTCAGATTCCTGAGCTCCAGAGATCCAGTAGGTCTGAAGAGGGTGACCCTGTTTGCATACGCTGGGTCAATTATGTCTGTGTTGCTCGAGGTTAGTATACTAGAATGAGCACCGTGGATATCGGAAAAACTCCACACTACTATTAGGAACGGAGTAGCTGGTGGAGTCACTGTTGTGGTGAACGTCACCGTCTCTCCAACAGCTGCAATGAGATTGTCTGGTAGCACACCAGCTCCATGGCTCAAACCTGGAGGAGACAGTTACATGATGGGAATAAATGTTACTGAGACTTCGATGACAGTGCACCGTTTGTTAGATCAAACTGTGACCTGCGGTGACAGAAGCTTTGATGCTACACTTTTTAACATATGAAATTGTAATAATAAACCTTGGGTCGAGTTTGACCCATTTTAAACCTAAAATCAGGTCAAGTTTAAGGGTTAAATTACATTGAGGGCTAAATTTAATCCAGATGACCTTAATAATCATGACCTGATGGAAGAGTTGGATGTTAAAGTGGTTTTAAAAGTCTTTATTTCTCACCTGAGATGGTTCCCAGGATTATCACCAGTATCACAGATGTTTTCATATCTCCTGCAGTCTCCAGGCACGTAGAAAGTGTTTTCACAGAGGAGGTGCTGTGAGTACAGTATGTGTGTTTGAGGGGAGGGGCAATGGACTCCTTCACCTGTTACAACCTTTACATCTTTTGTGGTGCCTCATCCAAAACCAATAAGCGAGAGCCATGCAATTAATGTAAGTTGGTGTGGGTGTTATTCGTGTTCTTATCTGATTTGTTATAAATCAGATCCATAAACAAACTCGGGTACACTCATATCAACCAACAGCAAATTTCTGATAGGAGTCCAGGACATAGTGGTAATTGTTGTTGAACAAATAGTCCAATACAACTCCAAAGGTGTTAATGTGCACTATTTCATTCTACATACTGTCAGCATTTTTTTTATTAATATTTTTTATTTGGAAATGCATTCAAGTACAAAATACAGTAAGTATATACTTGGAATGATATTTCCATGTTTCCTTTTCTCCCACTCCAAACGAACAACCCACCCACCCTAACCTGGAGAGCACCCATCTAGAGAAGCACAAAAAAATAGAGTATATGTATACAGACAAGCAAATAAGTACATGTGCCCACACACAGTACATTCACATACATAAACATACACAGACACATGAGAGGCCACGATTAGCCACGCACACCGCCACCATGCTCATGCTTATTCACTATCCGCTCATACAAGCCTGCACCAGTCCAAGAGTAATAAGTACACTATATTGTACACAGTAATCATTCCTTAGGGACATTATACACAATTGGAATGCAAGGCAAAGGTAAACAGAGTACCAAAACAAAGATATAAAGTGACTTTCAATACCGGGGAGAGGGAGGAGGAAAAAATAAGTAAATAAATACACTTTACCAGTTCTATTAGTGAAACTTTGCATAGACCTACTGTGTTCTATATGATTAAATATCTTGGATTGGGAAATTTTATTACAGGACATTAGGCAAAGTTTTGAGTTAACTTAAATGTGTCAAAACTGGGTTCCAGATGGAGAAGAATTTGTCACCAGATCCCCTAAGTGAATATTTAATCTTCTGTAACTGTAGAGCATCAAGTCGCTTAACCACAAAGACACTTTAGGGGGGTGTTTTGATTTCCAGTGTAATAAAACACTGTCAGCATTTTGATTCATTATTTTATTGTACAGATTTTTTGCCAGTGCACATAAACTGCAGCAATTGTACTAAATCTATATTATTGGTTCAACCTTCATCTCTTGCTTCTGCTCTCAAGAACAGCACCGGTCTCTGTTATTGTTACAGTCTCTGAGCTTTGAGCAACAGACGGGCAGTTAATTCTGATAAGAGATGCAGAGGAATGGCAACGTGAGATAATACATTGTTTAGCTGTAAAAACAACAACTGCATATGATGTACTCATAAAAAGTCAATGTAAACGTTGGATTATTTTTCACCAATAAATCCCTCAATAATTAATAAAACCCAGTTCCAATGTATCTTGCAGTAATGACACAGAAAATTAGCTCAGTTTTCTTTATCTACTTATAGTTACATGTATTGATTCAATCATGTCTATACAGATTTACCATGATTGAATATTTTATACTGACAGCATGATAGTGGCTCCCTGACATTTTCTCATGCAAACTTTTACTCCCTCAGTATTATGCAGCCTGAACAATATGTCACATTGATATAATGAGATTATATCACAGTGCAATCAGTGATAATAAAGGAATAAAACCACCTGCTGTACACAAAGTACTGTGGCTATGGGAATTATTAGACGTTTATCATTGATGGTGACAACTTTAATGGTGTCACCTGCAGAAAATGAGTCATCCCTCTAATTTCAGGAGATTTTCAGCAAATTGTGCTGTTATTATTAATGATTTAAACACACCTGAGAAATTATTTCTCAAGAATGTGCAACACACAAATACGATATACACAGTTTCAGGTATGTTTTCATATCAACAGGTGTGCTGACTGGACTGTATAAGCATAATATAGTAAGCAATATGAATTTTCATTTGAGAATATTTTATACACTGGGAATCATCTGTGTGGTGAAAATTTTGTCACCTCCTTACAGACACAGGTTGCTCCCTCAGTACAACTCTTATTACTCACCTGTGAAGTACATTAGCTCATCAGCTAATCAGCTTGTCCACTTTTAGGAAAATCACAGACTTTGGCCTTGTGCCGTGGCTGGTCAGGGTCATGATGTAGTGCGTTTGGGTGGTGCTTGAAGGTACATCCTGCTGCTCATGAACCTACGTCGACTTTGATAGAAGGTTTTAATAAAACTTTATAATAGCTATAATTTGATAAGAAGTCAATAGTCAGTGATATTAAGATATGTCCCAATTCAAGCTACGCAGTCATCAAAAACACTTTGGCCCAGACTAAAATGTTCCACCACAGATCTTCATTGTCCCAAGAAGCTGAAACTTACAGACTTTGGTGAGCCACTATATATGAAAAAAAAAATGCTATATATGCTAAGCAATCATGCACTGCTGTCTGAAATAGTCATAGGCAAATGTATTCATAATCAGAAATAAACTCAACAAATTGCCATTATATTACTACTGGTTCTGATATTATGAATCTGTACTGCAGTTCTGCGTGTGGTTTGTCTGAAGTGGTGTTGCAGGACCCCAGCAGAAGTAGTTGCTGTGCTCCAGTAGGCACAGTTAAAGTCAGATACTGTACCTTCTCTCTGTCTCATGACTGTCAAAATATATAAAAGGGAAAAAGTAGAATGTAATGGAGTGTTATGTAGGCTTTATTACTGTTGACTGTTTTTGTTCAAGTGTTAGTATGTCATAAAAATGCCATAAAAAAATTCATAAATTAGTTTATCACGTACTCATAGTTTGTGCACTTTTCCTGTGTGTATATATTAATCATACTGTACTCTGGCTCCCTAAAATGGCACTAAGTCATCAAAACCTTAAGAACCCCCGACTGAAGATTTTCCTTTTAAAATCCCTCAAAATTGTTTGTTTAGCTGTTAAGTTTCTAAAATTTTCTCCTGGGGGGGAATTCACACAGACGCCCCTCAAGGGTTGGGTCAGTTAAAGGATAACATAAACATTTTTCAACCTGGACCCTATTTCCCTGTGTAAATTGGTCAAAGAGACTGATGTTAACAACAGTTTTTGAAATTGGTCCAGTATTGAGCGAGTCGGCAGCAGACAGCAGCCATGCAACAGGCTGTAATGGAAGCACATGGGGCAACTGAACACCGTCACTGCATGTCTGCTAAAAGTGGTTATTTTTGCCACAGAGCAGCTCATTCTGTAGTCCCATTTGCACCAAAAACTTTCTGTATGGTACCTTGGGAACCAAAAGTAACCCTTCAGACATGGTACCTAGCCCCTAGGTCCACTAGCGTTTCCACCGCAAACAGTACTCTTTCATGTGGGTGGGGGTTGTTGTTACTCACTGCTCCGTCCTGTACTCACTGTATTTCCTCCCCTATCAGTCTGCACCTCATTTATCATCCACAGAATGAGGCTGCACGCTGACATTTTCAGAACAAAATAAAACAGGCTGCAGTGAGAGTCTCTCTTGATGGGACATTTAAAAGTAGCAGGTTTGTGCATTTAGTCCTTCCCAGGCAAGCTCCGGGGCTTTAGTGTTGCAGGAGCCCACAGGAATGATGCTCTGCGACACTTTTCTCCAAGTGAGGATTAGAATATATGCAGTTCACATTATCCTGTCAAAACTGATATAAACGCTTTACAATCCATTCATTACTAAAAGTGTATGTCATTTAAGAGAAACAATAAAAGCTAATGGAATTTAAAGTTGATCAGAGTGAAACTGAAGGTGTGTTGATTGATTTGCGTCATCAACTGATGTGGTGAGTAACATTACAAGTTAACGTACCACCTTAGAAGTCACTGGCAGTTGGCCCAGTGTATTAAATTATTTTATAAAATATATTATAAATAAAACTCTCCATAATATGAACAGTGATTACACAAGCCTCAAACCAGCCACAACTCAGCCCTGAGCAGAGTGACCGTCTGCTATTGACCAATCAACAGTCTGCAGTGTTCACAGCTCCACCTTTTAGTACCAGATCTGTGTGCTAGGTACCCCAACAGAGGGGGGACCAAAAATGGGGACAGTACAGAATGGTTCCATTGGTACCACCCACAACTTTTCACAGTGGAAACAGAAAAAAGCAAACTGAATTGAACTGAACTGAACTGAACCATACTGTACTGCTGGGCAGAAACAGGGCGTAAGGTGACAAAAACACAGCAGTTCTTAGTTTCAGGTGATTCTTAACAAATGGAAACATAGATATTAATAATATATTTCATTTCAGCATATATATCCCCCTAAATCCTACACACTGAATCTCTAAGGGTTCATGGCAGCAGCGCGTAGGTGCACCCTTGTGGAAAAAAAAGGAACAAATGGAGAGTACATGGTGTCCATTAACACACAACAGAATCTGATAACGAGTTTTAATAAAACTTTATTGTAGTGACAGTTTGATAGGACTTTATCAGGCATCAGTGTTACAGCATTAAACACTTTATCATAGTTTGAAGGCTGCATGACACAAGAACAAAATATATTAAGTAGGTCTGTTATACAACACCTGAAATGTTAGTAGTGTCAAGATTGATTTATTATAGCAGTCATGAGACCACAGCTGCAGTGGGGACAGATGGTACTTTGCTCTCTTAAGTGAGAGGTGCTATTACAGCAATATTAACGATACTTTTAGATGACTTAATATACAGTTGAAAGAAAAAATGAGACAGCAGCAAGTCATTTAACACAGTAATGAATGTCAAAGATGTATATGACTGAAGAACGTTATAAATAAATTGCATGGACAAAAGCAAATGTGAAGGACCTCTAGTTTGTCATTTTATCGTTTATCATTTACAGCTTCATTTTATGTGAACATAAAATTTAAAGAGACACAGCAGTACTGTTTAACACAGAAAAATCATTTAAAGTAAACACATTAATACACATTTAAAAACCATTTCCATGGACAAAAAGCAGTTTTTAGACCGATGTGAGTGCCACCGCGGTCAGGACAGTGCAAACCATCATGGACATAGAACCACTGATGGGAGTAGAGGAGTCTGGATCAGAAGAAAAAAACATTACTCTGTCTTTTTCGTTTGCAATCACACATCAGAATTAACAAGTTAGAGAGTTATGAAAGAGAGCTTAAATACCACGCAGGTTGTGGAACACAGAGGCTTCCTGGCCAGTGGTAGGGTTACGGGCGGTGCAGGTGTACCTCCCCAGGTGACTTGGTTCTAACTCATGGATGTAGTGTACGGGCCCGTGCATCATCATGTGTTTGAACTTCCAGAAGAAAGTTGCCTTTGGTAGGGAGTCAGCAGAGCAGCTAAGAAAGACGGACTCTTCAAGTTCTGCTCCTATTGGCGTCTGAACAATTACTGGTCTGTCAGGTCCATCTGGATAGAAAAGGAAAAATATAATGAGCTTTAGCAGTTATAAGCTAATACTCAAAATATATAAAGCATTGTATTACAGTACAATTGAAAGTACTTACAATAGACTAGAAGTCTGCATCTGGCAGTATCGAAGCTGATGTCATTGCTGACATTACACAGAAACTCTCCGGTGTCTATCCTGTACACGGGGCTGATGGACAACACTCTGTTCCCATCGTGAAAGCTGAATCTTCCTCCAGCAACCAGAGGTTGGCCATCCTTCATCCACACTCTAGACGTGAAGCCGTCAGAATTGCAGGTTAGGTTCAGGGAGGTTATACCTTCTACTACGTTCTCTGTCGGGCAGGCCATGGTGGGTTTTGACACTTTGGCTGTGCACAAAAAAAGAAAAGACAGATGATAAGAGAAGTTAATATAGACATGTTTCAGATTTTTCCATACCAAAATTTGTTGATACTACACAAGCATTATTTTAACTCCTTCCTAACATTAAAAAAAAGCAGCAGATGAATTAAAGTCTTACTTACTCAGCACCTCCAACTTAGCAGTTCCTTGAATCTGTCCGGCTCCATACGGGATGATGATTAACTCGTATTCTCCGCTGTCTTTTTCAGTCAGGTTTCTAAGCACCAGAGATCCAGTAGATTTATCCAGGGTGATCCTGTTCTCATAGCCTGCTCCCACTACATCTGCACTGGTTGATGTTATTATATTGGTGGTACCATTGAAGCTCCAGGTCAATGCCAGAAATGGTTGCGCTGTTGGTTTCACGGTTGTTGTGAAGGTCACACTCTCTCCTTTTACTCCACTAAGTAGATCGACGGGGAGCACTCCGGCTCCATAGCAAAGACTTGCTGAAATGTGAACATAGTGAGCCAACAATTCACAACCTGTAGTTGTCTAGAAGATGAATTTAAAAAAAAAAAACATCAATATTTTTCTTACCTGAGGAGAGGAATACAAGTATGGCTGTTGTGAGAAACATGTAGTTCATGGTGGATTACTCAGTTTGGTCCTCTTCTAACGTTATCTGAGCCTGAGTTTGAGCAACAGCGGAATAGGTGTCTGTAGATTACCTGCAATAAATGAACTGTGTCATCAAGATGTTCACAGGCTTGGCACACTTAATTATTAATTAACCCTTTGTTGTTGTGGCTCTCCAAGCTTGCATAACAAGCTAATTAAAAGCAACTGCATGTTCTCAGCCCCAGAAATTATGATCATTATTAATTGTTACCCCAGAGTTAGTTTACTAACTAAGTGAGAGTCTACAGCTGTGCTGTTGCAGTAACTGTTAACATATATAACATATAATTATAAACTTTTTTCAGCATTTTTTTAAACAAAGTTACTAAGTACTTTTCATGGTTCAACCAGGATAGAAACTGTTCAGAAGTGAGAAAAAAATTAGGCAATTAAAAATTAAACAAAAATGAACCAGAGTGGCAGTTTGGCCACAGTTGTAAACATGTCCTTTACGCCATGAAACGGTCGCAATTCTGCTCCAGTGCTACCTGATGAGGTTCAAGCAACAAGAGTATGTAGTTAGATTCAGGAAAAACATCATGGTTTGGCATTAAATAAGTATGTCATGAGACATACGACACACCACATATGTCACTAGGGTAGCATGCTGCACGTACTAGCATACTAGTGTACGTTGTTAGCAATAGAAGTCAGCTGTGACTTTGGGATGCAAATACTGGTCTCTAGGGTAAAAGTCCTGTGTTTATCCAGCACACATCCACCCCCCTCCCATCCACCATTTAGGGGCTTCTTGGATATTTGTACAATATTGCACAGACTTTGTCGCTTTTTATGCCACGTGATGTCGCTTCCTCCTCTACTCCTGTAATGATTGTTTTGGCCACTAGATGGCACTAACCCCCCCCCCCCCCCTTGAAAGGTCTCCTTAATGAGTCATATTAAGAGGATAATAAACTGGGGAACATTGGACCTTGGGAACAAAGTCATGCCCTCGAGGAAAAGTTAAAAGATCAACAAAGTTATCAGAATTTATCCTGAGGGGACAGATATGTATATACCAAATGTCTTGGCAGTTAACCCAGTAGTTGTTCAGTCTGTGGACCAAAGTGGTGACTGACCAACAGTCTAACTCAAGCTAAAAAGACCTGTTGCTCATTCATCGTTCTACCTTCACAGAGAGTTAAACATTCAGGAAGGCATCCTGAATGGAAATCACGTCACCACCACTTTGCTCAACATCTATTATCCACCAGGCTGCCAGAGCAACTAGTTACACCACAGGAGGGCAGCATACTGCAACGTTTGGTATGAAAGTGCTCTGCAGTGACTTTATTCTGGCATTTTGTGACTCATCCCTTTAGTGGAGTTTGAACTTTGTCCTGTAATTACAGCTGCCATAGGACAGCATTCATAAAGAGGGCTGTCAAAGTCTGCTGATTAGCTTTTACTTGTCCATGAAGTCAAGTCAACAATCAAGCTTAAACTCCACAGACACAACTTCATTAATCGTCAATATTTATTTTTTGTTGTATTTATTGTTTGTTGCCTATAAATGTGAGAAAGTCAAATGTATCAAGTAAACAATAAGAGGATATATACCCAGCTTTATTAATATACTGTCAGATTTAAGCCTCATTTCCACAGATGCCAGTGTGTGACCATTATATTGTACCATTATATTTAAATATTGTTACATATTCCGTTGCTGGTACAATCAAATGACAAAAGGGTGCAATATTCCAAACTACTTTAATAACATTATTTTGATGTATCTTGTTTTGCATATCATCTGCATGTCTTATTCCGACCCCGAATGTTTCCATTGTTTGCAGTTTTGAGGTTGGATACAACAGGAGACCAGGAGAGTAAAAACAAACTTGACACAACATGTGATAAATCATTGAGTTCTAAGATAGCGGTGGTTAATGTTGAGCCCTGCACTATTTTATTATTGTTAAATTGTTATAAGTAATTTATTCTCAGCATTAAAAGAAATGCAACATGTAAAACATTTGCTCACCATGTACGTGAATGAAATGAATACAAAATATAAATACTGTAAATATAAACACTGAATACGCTACATTGTCATTAAAGAGCCACATTTCTGAGCTCCAGAGATCCAACAGAAATGAAGATGATGATCCTGCCATCATACTCTGGTGCAGTGCAGTTTTTAACATTGAAAAGAGTTATATTTTTATCCCTGAATTTCCAGCCCATTGATAGAAATGTAAGAGCAACTCTGAGCACTAGGAAGCATTGTTAATACTAACCCCTAGAGTCAGTTTGGCAAGCTTTTTAGTTGCATAAATTACTTAATTTATTTATTCTTTTATTTTTTTATAGATATTACTCATGTAATTTGTATGCAAAATTGGTCTGCCCAACCAGCAAACAAAAACTTCTACACGCAGCAACACTGCAAAAGTAGCCCAATTGCCCAGGGGAAACTGCGGACCTTGCAACCCTGACTCAGAACACAAAAGATTCTGCAGCAGACAGTGCAGTCAGCTGTTTACTCCAACTCTTCAGCAAGTTGGTTTATTCAAGGGCTGTACCCCACTCAAAATTATACTAGCTTAATCAGATTTGGCTGTTTAATACGAGTATTCAATCCTTTTTTCCTCAGCTGAACAACAGCAGCTGGCATTTTTCAGATGGGAAAAGAAAGGCTTTGGTAGACACATGACCTTTTTAAAGTAACACCAGTGAGTGTCCAGCCAATAAAAATGTGGTCGGACAAAAGCATAACGACCAAACAGTTGACCAAACGAACTTTACAGCCTTAGTTGTCACATTGAGAATGGTTGCTCACGCTTGTCCTCCTGTCCACTCATAGTTATCAACATGAATCCCAATTAGTATGACTTTATTAAAAGTAAATTAATTCATTAAAGGCACATTGTTTGTTTTTATGAACAGCCAAATGGTGTGTTGCTTTAAATGCTGCTGCCCTAAGGAACCATGGGGAACCTTTTTGTAAAGGATGGTCCTGTTTATCCTATGATGAAGGAGATAAGAAAGGAAGCAATGAAGCACCTTGCCTTAGCATTTAGGAATTTTGACCAGCTCTTATCATGGCTGCCACTTAGATACTTCCAGGTCATGTCATTCACTAAGGAACCTTATTAAGCAAAAAACACTATTCAACCGCAGCCCCAGTCTTGCACTGTATATGGAATGATGTCATATTTTTGTGGATATTTAAATGCCATGCACTGAGTTTATGCACAGCTCCTATTCTCTCACACACTGGTGGGCGACCCTACCATACAAGGTGCCACTGGCTACTCCATTAACACATTTACACTTATCTAGATTAACACACCATCACAGACACAATTTAGGATTCAGTATCTTGCCTAAAGACACTTCGACCTGCGGACTGGAGGAGTTGGAGATGATTTCACCTAAATACAACATATTAATTAATCCCCATTAATTTGGTTAAAAAAGTTATTGTAGACTTAAAGAAGAGATGTCGATAATATTTTTAATTTAAACAATCTACTAGAGGAATAAAATTCATGTGTATTAAATTAGAGCCATATAAAGTGGCCCTGAGGGTCAAAACACAACATTTCACAAAACAAAACAGCATTTCAGACAGCTAAACAACATTTCCCAAACACGTCAACATTTTAGTAAACAAAACTTTTCAGAGAACAAAACAACATTTTGGAAATTTCAATAAATTAGTGGAGTGTCACCTTTTAATTTTGGAAATACAGTAGTTGTAGCAGCAGGCAGCTCTGTAGCAGCGCCGCAGCAGCAATGCTATCTGTGTGAACACTGCACTTGTGTGAGCTGCAGCAGTTCTGCAAGGTAGCTGTCAGGTGCTGCTTACACAGGCAGTGTGGCCTGGGCATTAGTAATACAAAAAAACTAAACAAGCTTGTGAAAAGCTCATCAAGTTGGCTTTTTGTAATTTTCAAAGCTTTACTAAGAAATATTTTACATGTAAACATTTAACGTTGTTGAGGCAATAATATGTATACAATATAATATATAACATTTCATATAATAGGTAGAGTGATAATTCAACTCCTGTTACGTGGCACTACATTGTTCAAAAAGACATTTAAAAAGAATACAAAGAATGAAAACAGTACCACTGGACATACATTAACATTTTCTTCAGGCTGATTATGATGTTTCTGTTTTGCTCCTTTTCTGATCTTCTGCTGGATAAGAAGTGAAAAGAGGAAAAAGTCACTGCTTTGATCAACTGTATGTTGTAATGAGAGGTCAGTAAATGTTTTATAGTAATTTCTTCAGATAAATGACGATAAAAATATTTTTTACAGAAATCTCGTTACTTCTCCCTTCAAAATACATGTGTCCCTTTTCACTAAATCAGAATAGTAACTTTTAAAACTCACCTGTAAAGGTAAAGAATATCCTTGATTTTATTTGTTCACATCTCCTACCCTTATTTTTTCCAGGTTTTCATACATGTGTTCTTCTTTTTTTTTCAATTCTAAAAAAAAAAAAAAAAGTTTCGTTACATTTGATTATGCATATGTATATTTGTGTAATTGTAGTTTATTCTGCATTCAATCTATGTTGTAATATACAGTATATAAGTGTAGGGTGAAGTTAGATCAGAGAAATACTGACCTTGATCATCAGAAGGTGGTGGAGCTTTGTTTTTTATTCTAAATATTAGAGACAAAGAATTGTTAAAATGTGGCCATGTAAACAGATGTAAATCAATAGTAAATTCAAAGGGTAACCCAAATGTTATGTTTGGGTATATTTGGATAGTATTTTATTTTAAAACAATTAGAAAATACATTTCTAAACTTGAATATAAATTGCTAACTGGCAGTTAATGCAGTAACAATGCAAAATAACACAGGCCATCACAGCTAAGTTTTCTGTGGCTATGATGGATTTCCAATATTTGCGACTGAACGATTGATACTGATGCTGACATTGATATTTTCTTCACTCAGTATTGTGCTGCAGGAGTAATATTTATTTTATGGACATTTTAGATTTGTTTCCAGTGAGAAATTGTTGAGATTATATAGTGACTTTGCTGTAGTGTGTGTGTGGGTGTGTGTGTATGTTTGTGTATAAAATGTAAGCATTGTAGCTCTTTTTTGCTGGTTTCTGCATTATGCGATGCTCCTCGGTCAGATATGTGACTAATTCTTTTATTTTATTTAAATATGAAACGATAAACATTGTTACTTTTACTACATTAATTTGCATGTTATTTGTCATTACCAAAAGCTAAAAAACTATTTTAATAGGTTGCTGGTTACTAATAATGTCTGTCCTATCTGTGTTATCTTGTTGTAAAGTCCTGCCACATTGAATTTGTAATTTAATAGTAGAGTTAAACTTGATGGCTGCATTGGAGAACAGCAGCAATGTTTGTGTGGGGAATGGTGCTGAACTCTCATGATTTTATATATTGTGTTTTATGTTTTTAGCAGATGTCAAGTGTATGTTTTACAAATTGCAGATGGGATATATGACTTCAGTCAAAAGATTATTTTTTGCTTTAATGCCTGATAAGAACTAGTGTGTTTTAATTGATTAATTTATTGAACTGATTTAATGTCTATTAAGTGCTTTAATATGGTATAATTTCATTAACTCTGCCTGGCATAAGCCTAGAGGGGCCTGCGTGTGTGCCTGTGTGGGTGTTTGTGTGTAACTGGAACAATCAACGTAATATTTTGTGTCTACATTAATGACTTGAGGATCTTGCGTAGTTGCAGTGATTCAAAATGGTTGAGAAACCTGTTTTATTGACTTTTTTATACCTTCACTGATTGCTGACTCCTCATTTCTCTTAACTGGCTGGTAGGGCCCACAAGTTTCTGAATATTATCTCAGCTAACAAGCCTTAAAGTCTGTTGCAGACCACTTTTTGGCCTCCGTTGTGACTCAAAAAACTCAAAAAAGTTTGGTCTTACTTTGGATTGGAGCATCTGCAGATTAATTCCATAGCCAACATGTTATTATCTACTAAAGTCCAGCACATTACAGGATGACTTTTTCCCCAACTGTTGGGGAGCCGGGAGGGACAATTCCACAGGGTGCAGCTGCATCATGTACCTGCTGCCATGGCTGTGGCCTTTTGTTCTGTTTACCACATGGTGTACCATATCAGGTACATTTCAGAAGTGGAGCATTTTGCTTCCCCAATTTTCTAGATATGGAGATTTTCTTGATTTGATATTTGTTCTTCCACCCTAATTCAGTAAGTAAGTTAAGTCGACCATGAAATGACAACGCAATCAGCTGGACATTAACTGCATACACCGATCAGCCAAAACATCAAAACCACCGACAGATGAAGTGAATAACATCGATCATTTCATTACAATGCAATGTTCTGCTGGGAAACCTGGCATTCACGTGGATGTCTCTTTACGCACACCACCCTCCTTAACGTAGTCATAAACCAAGTACCCCTGCTCATTGCAACAGTACCCCCGATGGCAGTAGCCCCTCAGCAAGGCAGTGCACCATGCCCAACTGCAGAAACCACTCAGGAATGGTCCAAGGAACGTGACAAAGGGCTTTAGACATCAATCTAGCTTTCAGATTTCCCAGATCCCAATCTGATTGAGTATCTGTAGGACAAACCAGTACCTCAAGGTCCTTTGTCCGGGCCTTGACGGGTCAGATCTATGTAGGAGCCTCTGACCTGTCAAGGCATGGAGACAAGACCTCTGGGGGTGTCCTGTGTTGTCTGGCACCAAGGCGTTGTCAACGAATCCTTTGATTCCTGTGGGTTGTGAGGCACCAGCGTGCCCAATGGATGTTCAATCGGATTGGGATCTGGGGAATTTGGAAGCCAGGTTGACACCTTGAGTTCTTTGTCAAGTCCCTGGTGCCATTCCTGGGCAGTTTTTGTGGTGTGGCATGACAAATTGTCCTGCCTGGGGGGTGCACTTCCATTAGGGAGTGCAGTTGCCATGAGGGGGATGTACTTGGTCTGTAATGGTGTTTTGGTGGGTGGAGCATGTCAAGTGGCATCTACATGGATGCCAGGACCCCAGGTTCCTCAGAAGAACATTGCACTGTAACAAAATCATCAGTTATTCACTTCATCCATCAGTGGTTTTAATGTATTAGCTGATCATTGTATTTGACAAGGTAGCAGATTTAACCCATCTGAAAAAGTCTCGGCATCACAGATCAAAAAACTAAACCAACAAAAAGTGGTTTGACTAAGACTGCAGAAATCTGTGAAAAACAGAAGCTTATCAAATTAAAAACACAGACGACCTGACAGTCCTGTGCTTCGCCTCCAAAAGTGGGAAACACTAAAATTATACAGAAGAACACTCAGAACTAAATAGGAACAACATGCGCAGCACCAACTTGATTTAATTGAAGAGTCCATTGACACAAATAATCGGAGTGAAATGGAGTATTAAAGTAAGAATAGTGTTAAAAGTCAGTAACCTCGTAATACATGGTTAAAAAAAGGGGAGACTTACTTATTTTTATAAATAAAGTATCCTCCAACAACTGCTGCAGAAACAACCACTAAAACTGAGATAACTATTCCAGCGATGGCGCCAGGTGAAAGACCTCCAGACATCCCTTCTGAAACAAAACAGAACAAAAACAAAAATTAGTAATTCGCCCCACAATATTAGCTTTTTATAAACTCACAAACACAATCACAAGTGATAAAATAAGTTTTTCATGGTGAATACAAAATATTTTTACGTATATGCAGTACCAACACAGTCACATGATTATATGCAGTAGACTTCATTACACCAGAGAAAGAGATGAGCACATGGTAAAGCCTGGACTGTAATAAAAGTTCAGGGAATTGCTAATATAATATAGGCAAGGCATTAGGGTTCAACAAGGATATATTTTTTGGTTCTGATGCATTAATGTTTAAAACTTTCAATCCTAAGTCTGAAGACCTGGACCTAAGGACCTGACCAAGGCTGCACTGAAGCAACAAACACTGGAGAATAGGCTACTCTATTAAATGGACAGAGAAATTCCCTCGAGACAGGGACAGTGTCAAAAAGATTAAAGGGTTTGTTATTTCAGACCTATTTACTTATTTGTAAAAAAATAAATGCATAAATATTAAAGAACAGCTTGAATGCAGGGTTTTTTCATAATGCATGGCAGAGCTTTTCAGTTGTCAAGCATATGCATTGGATTGATTTTTATAACTTGAAATGTGCACTGTGCAGCTGATTTATCTAAGAAAACAGAATAATCTGATCAGCACTCAGTAATGGCAAACACTCAATATAAAACGAATTTGTACGGGATTGAGGGCAAAAATAATTGATAGGGGCATCCCTATATAACATACGAAAAAAAACTTTGATGATTTACTTTTAAATGTGTGTGTTGCTTTGTATCATTCTGTATCCTTGCGGCGCAGCACATCTTAACTGGTAATAGAAAGACAAGTCTGTACGGCATGGTGTGATTCAGCACAGCCACAAGAGGCAATTGAAAAGGGGTGTTTGTCCTTCAGGCCTATAACACTGTGGGTTGATTGTGATATTTAAGACAATCAACAAAATGTGCATCAACACCATCCTGGTACCTTTTACAGACAATTCATGATCTGCAGACAACTTTCTCCTGGACACTTTATTCATAGCTTCACAGGTGTAGGTGCCACTGTCTGAGGATTTAGTATTGTCTTTGGTGAACACAGCAGAATTGTGTATCTCTGTCCCATTCAGTATCCAGGTGTAAGTGGCAGATGGTCTGGACTCAGCAGAGCAGGTTAAAGTGAAGGTCTCTGTCAGATGTATCTCACTTGGACCTGTGATTTGAACTTTTTCTGGTCCATCTGAAAAACAGATATTTGTTATGTATTATTATTATATTAAAGGATATACAAAAATTTTAAACTCTTAAGTTACAGACCGAAAAACAAGACATTTCAGTAGCACACTGTTACTTATGGCACTTCATCATTTTTAATACACTGCTTAAAAAACAAGGGCAACAAGGGCACACTGAAATCAGATCCTGCAGAGCAAATTATTCAAACTGAAAATCTTTAACGATGTACATTGTATAATTTGTTGAGAACAAAATGACCTAACAACGGTCAATGGAAACCAAAATCATCAACCCACTGAGGGCTGGATTCAAAATCACTCTGAAAATCAAAGTAAAAAATTGAAGTCACAGGCTGATCTAACTTATGTGAATTTTATCACAGCAACTCATAATGTGACTCAGTATTGTGTGTGGCCCCCACATGCCTGTATGCACACCCAACAACGTCTGGGCATGCTCCTGATGAGTCGGCGGATACTGTCCAGGGGGATCTCCTCCCAGACCTGGATCAGGGCATCAGTGAGCTCCTGGACAGTCTGTGGTGGTACTTGGCAGCGCCGGCTGCACTGACACGTAACATTCCATAGATGCTCAATTGGATTTAGGTCAGGGTAAAGAGAGGGCCAGTCAATGGCATCAATGCCTTTGTCATTCCAGGAACTGCCTACACACTCTGGCCACATGAGGCCGGGCATTGTCCTGCACCAGGAGGAACCCAGGGCCCACTGCACCAGGAGGAACCCAGGGCCCACTGCACCAGGAGGAACCCAGGGCCTGCTGCACCAGCGTAAGGTCTGACAGTCACTCTGAGGATTTCATCCCGTTACCTAACAACAGTCAGGGTACCGTTGGCTATAATAGGGAGGTCTGTGTGACCCTCCAAGGATATGTCTCCCCAGACCATCACTGACCCACCGCCAAACCGCTCATGCTGGATGATGTTACAAGCAGCATAACGTTCACAACGGCATATCCAGACTCTTTCACGTCTGTCACATGTGCTCAGTGTTGTTCCTGCTCTCATCTGTGAAGAGAACAGGGTGCCAATGGTGGACCTGCCAATTCTGGTGTTCTGTGATGAATGCCAATCGAGCTGCACAGTGCTGGGCTGTGAACACAGGTCCCCCTCATGCCACCCTCATGGAGTCTGTTTCTGACAGTTTGGACAGAAACATGCACACCAGTAGCCTGATGGAGGTAATTTTGTAGGGCTCTGGCAGTGCTCCTCCTGTTCCTCCTCACACAAAGGAGCAGATATCGGTCCTGCTGCTGGGTTGATGCCCTTCTACGGCCCTGTCCAGCTCTCCTCATGTAACGGCCAGTCTCCTGATATCTCCTCCATGCTCTTGAGACTGTGCTGGGAGACACAGCAAACCTTCTTGCAACCTCATGTATGGATGTGCCATTCTGGAGGAGCTGGACTACCCATGCAACCTGATTGGGCTGCAGGTACTGCCTCATGCTACCAGTAGTGACAAGGACACTAACAGAACACAAAACTAGAGAAGAATCAGTCAGGAAGGATAAGGAGAGAGCAACTGTCTGTGGCCACCACATTGTAAAACCATTCCTTATTTGGGGGTTGTCTTGCTTTTGCCTCTCCATTGCACCTGCTGTCACTTTCATTTGCACCAAAGCAGGTGAAACTGATTCAAAGTCACTTGTGCTTCCTAAATGGACAGATTGATATCCCTGAAGTTTAACTGACTTGGTGTTATGATGTGACCACTAATTTTTTTCAACCAGTGTAGTAAATGTACAGTCCACATCCATTAAGTATTGCGCTTAATCATTGCTGACGAGGTTGCTGACTGTACAGGAATATTCTACACTGTCTTTTCTATTCAGGCTGTCAAAGACAACACTCTGTTCTTGTCGTAAAGTTTTATATTGTCAGACAGGATCAGATCTGAGCCATCCTTCATCCTCTTTCTGCTAAAGACAGAGCTATCAGCTTATTACATCAGGATGATGTCTGACCCTTCACTGTAATATTCTTGTGACAGAGATATTGTCACATTAATATTTGCAGGGCCATCTATGTTGAGCAGCACATGGGAAATAAAAAAAATCACCAAAAAATACAGTTGGCTACTTGCAGATAATGCTTGGTGATGTAAATCTGAGCTCAGCGTGAAGCCTTATAATACCTTCAACTTTAAAACATGCATGCATATAGTGCAGGATAAATAGTATGCACTTATAAGTCAGTAACTCACAGCTGATGAAGAGGTTTACTGGATTACTGATGCCAGCGCTTAAAGGATTGGACACACGACACCTGAATGGTCCCTGGTCGTAGCGGGTCACGTTAAATATAGTGAGAGTGGCGCCTCCATCAGTGAGCTGAACTCTGTCACTTTCTGTAACCTCAGAGCTGCCGTTCAGCCAGAAGAAAGAGAGGAAGGATCCAGAGGCGGAGCAGGACAGATGGACAGAGCTGTTGAACTCCACCAAGTCTGTGCTGCTGGCTGTTGCTATTACATTGGACACTGGTACTGTGGGTGAAAAACACAGTAGTTCTGTACTGGCCACCTCTCTGGCCTAAGAAAAGGAGATGGCTCAGTAGAGAGCAGCAATGTAAAGAGAAGGAATTAATCCTACAGTATTTTAATGATACTATGATGAGTAATGAGGCTCAATGCATGTTCAAGGTTTGTATGTGTGTTGGACATTTACTTGTGGACACAAAAAAATTGATTATCTATGATCATGTAGTTATTATTATTTTTTCAACTTTAAGTTGTCTCTGTATGAGAAGCATCTTGAGTGCATATGTATGTACAGCAGTATTGTTCCTTTTTGTTTAATAAAACTGTTTTAATAAAGTTTTATATGACACTATCACAGGTACATTCAGGTAGTGGGCAAAAAAGGTTTGCTAATTTAAAGTAGCTTGATTTAAAGAATAATCAAAAGGGGAAAGCTGTACTAAACATACTGTACATTCTAAATCCAAATGCCTCTAGTTCACAATAAAAAATTATCTTTTTGAATTATGTTACTACCATGTAAACCTGTTCATTTCTACTTACCCAGCACAGTTACAGCTGCAGGTGGAGCTGATTCATATCTCAGAGTTTTGCTGTTAAAGGCCTGACAGCTGTAGCTGCCACTCTGACTCTCCTGAATGTCCATCAGTATGAGATAACTTCCAGTATCAGACAGCAGGACTTCATTCAGAAACCAGTGAAACAGGGCAGGAGGTCTAGAGACAGCTGAGCACTTCAGGATGATGGCTGACCCTTCTGTATAGTATTCTTGTGATGGAGATATTGTCAAGTTAATGTTGTCTGGGCCGTCTGAATGTAGGGAAAAACAAGAGCAAATAAGACAAAGGTCAACATGATATAATAAAAAATAAAAAGGCATATGGCCTGTAGCTTGACTCATTATTAGGCATTATAACTTACTAGTATGCACAACTGCATTATCATACGTCAAGTTCGTCAAGTCACCAGTAATGCAATCTGGAAATCCATCGGTTTAAAAAAAAAAAAAATAATAATAATAATAATTTTTTCTTCCTTTACCTCTGGAGGCACCATAGACATATATACATAGACGCCGCATTGACTGCCGCTACCTATTGGAGCCGACGTCCTAGCCGGCCGCCATCTTGGATGGGTCTCGCTTCGCCTCCACAGTGCATTCACTTCTATTGAGGAAGGAGCTGTATGCACAAGTAAAATAGAATAACTCACTGAATTTTCAACTGATTTTCACGCGGTTTGGTTTGTTACAAACGGCGCACATGTAGTTATGATACAGGATGCTTTCGTACATTAAAAATGTGGGATTTCATGCTTTAATACTTTCTGCAGATAGCAACAGCATGTTATTTAGGTCACAACATAGTTATTTTATTCACTTCAACCCCAGAGTGGGATATATATATATATATATGTGTGTGTGTGTGTGTGTATGTGT